ACTGCTGGTTCCGTCCAGCTCTCCAGAGACTAAAGGCCCTTCACCGCTGGTTCCGTCCAGCTCTCCAGAGACTAAATGTTCTTCACCGCTGGTTCCGTCCAGCTCTCCAGAGATTGAATGCTCTTCGCCGCTGGTTCCGTCCAGCTCTCCAGAGTTTGAATGCTCTTCCCCGCTGGTTCCGTCCAGCTCTCCAGAGATTGTATGCTCTTTACCGCTGGTTCCGTCCAGCTCTCCAGAGACTTTATGCTCGTCACTGCTGGTTCCGTCCAGCTCTCCAGAGACTAAATGCTCTTCACCGCTGGTCCCGTCCAGCTCTCCAGAGTTTGAATGCTCTACACCGCTGGTTCCGTCCAGTTCTTCAGAGACTGAATGCCCTTCACTGCTGGTTCCGTCCAGCTCTCCAGAGACTAAAGGCCCTTCACCGCTGGTTCCGTCCAGCTCTCCAGAGACTAAATGTTCTTCACCGCTGGTTCCGTCCAGCTCTCCAGAGATTGAATGCTCTTCGCCGCTGGTTCCGTCCAGCTCTCCAGAGTTTGAATGCTCTTCCCCGCTGGTTCCGTCCAGCTCTCCAGAGATTGTATGCTCTTTACCGCTGGTTCCGTCCAGCTCTCCAGAGACTTTATGCTCGTCACTGCTGGTTCCGTCCAGCTCTCCAGAGACTGTACGCTCTTCGCTGCTGGTTCCGTCCAGCCATCCAGAGACTGAACGCTCGTCACTGCTGGTTCCGTCCAGCCCACCAGAGACTGTAAGCTCTTCACTGCTGGTTCCGTCCAGCCCACCAGAGACTGTAAGCTCTTCACTGCTGGTTCCGTCCAGCCCACCAGAGACTGTCAGCTCTTCACTGCTGGTTCCGTCCAGCCCACCAGAGACTGTAAGCTCTTCACTGCTGGTTCCGTCCAGCCCACCAGAGACTGTAAGCTCTTCACTGCTGGTTCCGTCCAGCCCACCAGAGACTGTATGCTCTTCACTGCTGGTTCCGTCCAGCCCTCCAGAGACTGTATGCTCTTCACTGCTGGTTCCGTCCAGCTCTCCAGAGACTATATGCTCTTCACTGCTGGTTCCGTCCAGCCCTCCAGAGTCTGTGTGCTCTTCACTGCTGGTTCCGTCCAGCCCTCCAGAGACCGTCCAGACCGTCCAGCCAGAGACCGTCCAGACCGTCCAGCCAGAGACCGTCCAGACCGGCCAGCCAGAGACCGTCCAGCCCGTCCAGCCAGAGACCGTCCAGCCCGTCCAGCCAGAGACCGGCCAGACCGTCCGGCCAGAGACCGTCCAGACCGTCCGGCCCGAGACCGTCCAGACCCTCCAGCCCGAGACCGTCCAGACCGTCCAGCCCGAGACCATCCACTCCCCATCTGCCCTTCACCCGGGGCCTCAACCCAAATATTTTTTGGGGGGGGGCCCAGTGTCCCAGCCACGGCCGCCTGAAGGGCTCTCACCGCCGTGGCCGCCCGAAGGGCTCTCACCGCCGTGGCCTCCCGAAGGGCTCTCACCGCCACGGCTGCCTGAAGGGCTCTCACCGCCGTGGCCTCCCGAAGGGCTCTCACCGCCGTGGCCTCCCGAAGGGCTCTCACCGCCGTGGCCTCCCGAAGGGCTCTCACCGCCGTGGCCTCCCGAAGGGCTCTCACCGCCACGGCCACCCGAAGGGCTCTCACCACCGTGGCCTCCCGAAGGGCTCTCACCGCCACGGCCACCCGAAGGGCTCTCACCACCGTGGCCTCCCGAAGGGCTCTCACCGCCACGGCCGCCTGAAGGGCTCTCACCGCCGTGGCCACCCGAAGGGTCCTCGCATCCTGCTCCGCCCTGGCCACGCCCTCATCCTGCTCCGCCCTGGCCACGCCCTCATCCTGCTCCGCCCGGGCCACGCCCTCATCCTGCTCCATCCTGGCCACGCCCTCATCCTGCTCCGCCCTGGCCACGCCCTCATCCTGCTCCGCCCTGGGGGGCTGCCTGCGCCTGACCACGTCCTCCACAGCCTCCAGGGCGCCCACCCCCCCTCCCCGCTGATGTTACGGCGTGAGGTCACGCCTACCGGGAGGGGGGAGTGATGTCACAGTCTTCGTCTTCACCTGTTTGTCTCGTCATCTGCACCACGCTTCCCCGGATCCTTTTGTTTCCTCTCCTGATCTCACTCCCTCATCAGCCACCTGTTCCTCGTCTGTTCGTCATCATTTTCACCTGTTTGCACCCCATTTAGTTTGATTCCTCTGTCTATTTAGTTCGATCTTATTCAGTCTGTCTTTGTCAGTCGATGTTTATGTTACCTGGTGTTTGCGCCTGTAACCCTGCCTTCCTGCCTGTATGTGTATAAATAAATTCGTGTTTGAGGTCAACCTGGATTCCTCCCGCTCCTTCGTCCTGCACTCCTGAACCCCTGCACCACACCCCGTGACACATGTAAGTTCTTAAATAAATTATATTATTTTAAATTATACTTAAAAACTGCTGGAACAGCTGGAAACTCAGAGCGCTCAGGTGGAGGACCTCACCGCAGGATAAAGCTACAGCTCTGGGATGATCAAATTGGACTGATTTGCTACGGAAAATGCGACCAGTTCACCTCTTTGACCACAAGGGAATTCGATGGAGAACTGTTTATTACAACAACGAAAGAAACCGAAATCCAAGAAATCCCATCATGGCCTGGGCTGGGTGACATAATTCCTCACAAAGAAACAGAGCAACCGATAACAGCTGTGTCCGGCGTCATTAACCGGCCGAGGTCGCTGTGTCCCGCAACTGAGGGAATTGCACATTTTGAGTTTTTCCCAAAAACAAATTTCACCGTTGCCAAAAATGCAACATGCTGCAAAAAACGTCCATGTCCAAAGCCACTGCCACAGCACACATCACTCTTTTCTAAACTTGTAGAGGATGGACAGGACGTGGAGGAGGACTTCCTTATTAAAAGTGAACATTCAAAACGACAATGTCGTTGCAGTGGAAATTGTCGCTGAAAGTCCATGAAATCCTCTCCACAACCGCCCGCAGTCGCAGCACTAATGAAGGTATTCCAAAGCCTGCTTCTTAATTACTCTATATTAAACAAAGAAATGTTCATTTTAATTAGAAAACTTCAATTGTTCAAAAATAGTTTCAATAAATGTTGAAAATGTTAAAGTTAAACTTTCTATTTGGACCTAAACAAATAATGTTCATGTTAAAACTAAAGTTAAATTAAAATATTTGCACTGCATATAGCCTATAAATAGCATTTTTTGTTGTTGTATTTTTTATTTTTAATAGCCTATTTCTCAATAATTTTCTGTTCTTTGTGTTTAAATTTCATTTCTTTGTGTTGTATTGTCAGTATTGACATTATTATTGTTACTTTCTGTCACGGTGTGGTGCAGGCAGAAGAGCAGACAGAGTCCAGATTACAACGAAGAGAACTTTTACTATCAATATATATCACAAGAATACAGGTAGGAGCAACACAAGGTAACATGCAACATCGACCGACCAAGACTGAATGGAACTGAACTGAACTAAATACACAGAGGAATTAAGCTAAATGGGGTGAAAACAGGTGAAACAGATGAACAAAACGAGGAACAGGTGGCTAATGAGGGAGTGAGTTCAGGAGAGGAGACAAGAGGATCTTGGGAAGTGTAGTGCTGGAGACGCAGACTGTGACACTTTCTTTGTATTGTTGCTTATTTTCAATAAACTGTTCTGTTTTTGCAACTGTAATCTCGTGCTGACTTTTTATTACACATTACAGGCTACACAAATTTACTAGACTTCGGCTACAATATTTAAAGCATAGCTACAATGAGCTACACATAGGCTTACACCTTAAGAAAAATAATATTTAAAAATACCATAGTCATTTAAAATAATTTTTGTATATTTGACAAATATATTTACTGATATTGCATTAACATTTCATTGTGGTATTCATAGTGAATTACACCTTTACAAAAAAAGACTTCTTCCTCAACGCTATCATAATGTTAACAAAGACATCTTGGAGTCAACACGTCAAAGAATTATACGCCTTAATAATTACTTTTCCTCTTAGACAATACAGCCATTTTAGACTATTTCATATAATTAATCTAATAAATATTTAGTAGCCTACATATATTTTCTCTTCTGACATTTGAATATAGAGAGACTGCAACACCTGAAATGTTTGTCAGATTAGAGAGACGTCCAAAATGTGTCCAGCTGGAGAACCTGATCTAGAGTTTCATGACTGAACTCCATATTTATTAGAAATGTTTACATTATTACACAAATACTGTCACAACGGCTGATTCTTGAGTTGTGATCATGGTTTCTTAATGATTTTTATTATACTTTATATATATGAAGTATCACAACCTTCTTTAGATGTAAATGTGCAGCAGAAGTGAAAGTGTTCCAGTCCAGATGATGTGACCAATCAGAGAGTGAGACTGAAAGCCCATTTGCATTGTCAGGGTGGAGTGATTGTGATCTCTCAGAATAGAGCAGCTCTGTCTCCAGAGACCATGTTCAAACCCCAAGAGCTTTATTTGACATTTACTGCCACATCAACCTTCTGAAAAGCTCCTGCATCTTCATCTGTTAGTTGAATGATGTTGTCAGACACAAAGTGAACTTGTTGAGAAGCTTTATTGAATGTTGCAGCAAACACACACACACACACACACACACACACACACACACACACACACACACACACTGTTTGAGTATTGAGTTGTAAAGCACTCCAGCTGCAGCACTAGACTCATGTGAATCCTGCCTGACACAGGACACTCAGATACGGCTCATCTTCAGGAGAGAAACATCAGCACTCAGAGCTCTTGTGGAACGAGACCTCATGAGGAGCTCCATCATGTGTTACTCTGCAGACGTACAGCTCTCCCTCTTCCCAGCGTGCTTTGCTGAGGGTCAGGACGCTACTGCGGCTGTAGCGGCCGTCCTGCTGGCTCTCTGCGCTGGTCAGAACCCCCTCGGTGACCTCTGACCCGTCCAGTGTCCAGCTCACCAGCGCCCCCTGTGGAGAGTAAGAGCTGAGCAGGCAGAGCAGTGCGGCTGAGTCTCCAGAGATCTGCAGAGAAGAGGGCGGCAGCAGAGACACTGAGGGCTTCACTGTGGGACCAGCTGCAGGAGACACACACACACACACACACACACACACACCGCATCAATCAAACTAAACATCGGAATACACAGACTGCTTTCATTCAATTTAATTGGAAATCCCAAAAGTTAGTTTATACTCAAGTGAGATATTCAACAAATAAAAAACTCAATGTAAAAGTTTGACTCAAGCTCACATAAAAAGAAATGTATATAACTTATAAGAACTAGAAAACAACGTCTGTGTTTGTATTATAAAGCACTGAATTATAAGCACAACATGAGCAAAAGAGATTCAGTATCATTGACTGAACTACAGAAAGGAGCAACATTTACCTTCTGATGTCAAATCTCTTTTTACATGTATGATTTCTACAATAAAAGATGAACTAAATATGAACTCAGTGTAGAAATAAATGAAGGAGAAACAAACCTGTAATAAATTGAATAAACTCATAGTGAGACACATTATGGATTAAATAAATTATAAAATAAATTAAATTATTTAATTTTAGATTAACCCTTTAACCCTAGTAACCCTTTATTTAAAGCCTTCATACATATTACATTACAAGTATTTTAATGCATTAATTATAGATTGCTATACACATTAAAATGCATGTATAACCTATGTTATCAATAATTGTATCCGCAGTTATAACACGTAGGCCTAATATTATCTATTCATTGTTCCAACTTTATTATATTACATTAAAACTCATGACAATCCACCAATTTCAGATGAAAGAATGAATTTGTAAATATTATAATACATTTTAACTTTGGTTGCAATTATTTACGAAAATATAAACTGCATTATAACATACATTATGAATACTATTATACATAGGCTTCAAGTAAAGTTTGCCACAATATCTAAAAATCATCATTATTAATAAATGTTGTTCTTGTTTCAACTGTAAAAGACTTTCTGAAATCTAAATTGTATTTTTATTAGGTGATTAAATGGACAGACTTACTGATCACCAGTTTAGTTCCTCCACCGAATGTCCACCACAGTGATCCAATCTAATGAAACACTCGTACAAAAACCTCTATTCCACTCGAGTGAACACACACTCCAGCAGAGAGAGAGAAACAACACTTCAACACACTGATATTAGAAGATCCTCAGCTCTTCTCAACACTCACTCATTCAGATTTGACTAAATGCTTTCTGATATAACACTGTTTAAAGAAATATATGGGATGAGCTGTGATCTCTGAGGCGACCTTTGACCTCTTTGATCATGGATGATGATGTGTTTGAGTTTCTCATAATGATGCTTCTGTTCTTCATATGCAGATCAATCATCATGATTGACAGAAAAACCTGCAGCTTCACACTTCAATCTTCAGTGAGAATCTGTTCAAATAATGACTTTATTGAATATTAGAGCCAAAGTCAATAGAAAGTGTGACAATGAAGATCTAAAAGTTGTGTTTTGCATGTTTTCATATTCAAGGTGTGTTATAAAAGTATCTGGACTGGTTCTGAATCTCATGAAACGTGAACATGCTCTAATATGTGTCCATCTTTAACAGCCTGTTTCTTCTCCATCTGATGATTTCAGACACACATGAGGCTTCATGATAGATGGAGTGACACCATGAACTCTGATTAGAGATTCACAATCAGTCCTGATACTTTCTGAACACACTCATGATTCATGATCTTACTTTAGTGATGGCGCTTCATCTAGTGGAAGTGTAGCAGTGATGATGGTCACATGACTGAATATGGACACAGAGATGGACGTTCATCTGTACATCCTCAGTGTCTCAGGAGTCACAATAAACACACTAAATAAAGTCATGATTGTGTAACTCTAATGTATATGAGTGTGTTGTCAGCACAAGCTGTTGTAAATCCTGCCCACTTCTTTGCATTGTCAGCACATGCTTCAGTGCTCTGAGAGTGTTTATAGTGCTGTGAGTTTAACACTTCATGACTGAGAGCAGAACACACACACTCTTCATCATCACACAAGACTAAACTACAACTATGAACAACATCTGCATCTTCATCTGGACTCTGTCTGTGTGTATTCAAGGTAAGACATTTAAAGAAATGTTCACAATAAATGATTATAATATTATTAACAATGCTGCTTTTTCTCACAGGTTTCAGTGGACAGGTGACTGTGACTCAGACTCCTTCTGTAAAAACGGTTACAATTGGTGAATCAGTCTCGATAAACTGCAAAACAAACACGGTAGTGAGCAATGGCTGTCCAGGTTCATATACTTGTATGCACTGGTACTCAAAGAAACCTGGAGAAGATCCTAAACTCCTCATATATTATGCATCAACCCTTAATACTGGAACTCCATCTAGATTCAGTGGCAGTGGATCCAGAACTGATTTTACTCTGAGCATCAGTGGAGTCCAGACTGAAGATACAGGAGATTATTACTGTCTGAGTTATCACTGGATCAACAGTCAGAATGCGTTCACACAGTGATAAAGAGTCGTACAAAAACCTCTGTCAGTCAGACGTCACAGTGACTGCACTGATACAGCTGAGAGAAACTGCAGCTGCTGATGGAGGATCACACACTACACAATTGTAAGAAAAAAATGATGTGTAAATGAAGTTGCTTGTGTTGTAACTGCTGTGTTCTGTATGTTAATAAAGTTGAGACACCTTGCTGTCTGAGGAGGTTCTCGGTGTCTCACACCCATTCCCATTCATGAAGTGATCAACCCAAAAGGTGAAGAAACAATATAACACTTCCTTCATCTCTATGAAATTCTAAAATATATTTGGGAGTGGATTCTCGGTCGAGGCAGACTACAATTTCGTACAGTCCCCTCTCTGATACTCCTGGCCCAAAAGAAGCATCACATCCACTCACAGATTACTCCTCCCTTCTCTATCGGGCAGAAGCCCAGTGGAGGTGAAGCCCAGGCTCAGGTTGTCCCCCTATGGCCATCGGAGGATCTTACCCGTCTTTGGGTCGACACCTCATGCACACTCGGTACAGCTCCATCCGATTGGGCAGAATTATCAAAGAGACTCTTCGAAAATTTGGAAATATGAGATATGAGATATGAAATATGAGAACCAGCACAGCCAGTAGGAGTGTCCTAAAGTAATCATTAAGTTATCTGAAATTCAATGTTTAAACATAGAACACATAACATAATGCATTGGAAAATGATAAACTCTGTGCCTCTTCTGGTCCATCCACCCCATGGCAGGTCTCAGGGTTTCTAGGTGTTTTAGGCCTGGAGTTCATGATCTCGCAGGTAAATCTCTGTATTCTGTTCTTTTCTTGAGAAAATCCCCTGGCTCCACTGGCTCTACTTCCTTCTCGTCCTTCAAACGACCAAATCCTCTTTCTCCAGGAGGTTACACGTTTCAGACAACCATCTCGATGCTTGACAAATTTCCACAAAGTCATTGACGTTACCAGTGTTGTAGTCGAGACCACCTCACTCGAGTCCGAGTCGACACCGAGACCATAGAGAGTCGAGTCCGAGTCGAGACCGAGTCCATAGAGAGTCGAGTCCGAGTCGAGTCCGAGACTAGAGACGGTCGAGTCCGAGTCGAGTCCGAGACCAGTGAGGGTTGATTACCTAATTTACTTTTATTTACTTAGAGAAATCCTTTTTTTTTGTTTTTGTCACGGGTGACAAAATCGCTCAGTAAACGGAACCTTCTTGAGAGTCCTGAGTTTCCTAGGGGAACGTATTGGGTGCAACACTCCACTACGGTTCCGGGTGTGATGGAAACATGCCCGTACTGATTAGCGCTAATGCATTGCAGGTGTGAGAGAGAGAGGAGCGGCACTCACACGGACTCCCTGTTTCATAAGCCACGATATAAAAGGGGCATTAAGAGAGTGTTTGCAGCGCGGTTGGTGGGTGTACAGTGTGTCAAGATTCCAAAGGGTTGACTCTGGGCAGTGCTGGATACAGGCTTCCTTGGAAAAAATCGTTGGAGTGTGGAGATCGCCCATTCGAGTTGCTGGGTCAGATTGATCGTTTGTGGGAAGACTGCTGGACCGAGCTAGGGCTGGATCTGTGCTGTGGAAGGAGAGAGGAAAGATAAGTGAATTGTTTTCATCTTATGAACATTTGAACCACTTGAAGAGGATACAGTGAATGTGGATCTGACTGTTGGAGGAGCTATGTGTTTCAGAGTGTGATGAGGAGGAATTAAAAGTGAAAACCCTGTAAACGAGCGCAACGGACGGAGTGGGGCCTCTGTCCAACCCTATCGTGTGATTGAATTGCAGTGCTTTTGCCTTATTGATACACATTGATTTATTGCTATGGAATTGAAGTGAACACAAGTGTGCTGTGTCTTTGTTGAGAAGTGGCCCCCATCCATGCTTACACGTTCGTGGAAGGTTATTATATCTGCCCCCGTCAGAAGCCCAGAGTGATACAGTGAACTGAAGAGAGAGTACTGTGTACTGTGACTATCCTCACCTGTTCTACTTACTGTTTGAGCCCAGAAGTATACAGCAACGCTGATAAAGCAATCATTTAACCCACTGTCACCCTACTGTGAACTGAGGAGAGAGTACTTTGTACTGTGAAGATCCACACCTGTTCTACTTGCTGTTTGAGCCCAGAAGCATACAGCACCACTGGTAAAGTAACTTTATGACTCACTGTCCCCCTATTGTGAACTGAAGAGAGAGTACTGTGTACTGTGACTATCCTCACCTGTTCTACTTACTGTTTGAGCCCAGAAGTATACAGCAACGCTGATAAAGCAATCGTTTAACCCACTGTCGCCCTACTGTGAGCTGAGGAGAGAGTACTTTGTACTGTGAAGATCCACACCTGTTCTACTTGCTGTTTGAGCCCAGAAGCATACAGCACCACTGGTAAAGTAACCTTATGACTCACTGTCTCCCTATTGTGAACTGAAGAAAGAGTACTGTGTACTGTGAATATCCTCACCTGTTCTACTTACTGTTTGAGCCCAGAAGTATACAGCAACGCTGATAAAGTAATCGTTTAATCCACTGCTTCATTACCGTGCACCCACGAGAGTACCCTGTACTGTGAAGAATCCTTACCTGCCATACTTACCGTCTGAGTCTGGAAGTCTGCAGCACCGCTGGGGGAAAAGTAAGCTTTTAATCCACTGTTTTATTATCGTGCACCAACGAGAGTACTCTGTACTGTGAAGAATCCTTACCCGCCATACTTACTGTCCGAGTCTGGAAGTCTGCAGCACCGCTGGGGGAAACGTAAGCTTTTAATCCACTGCTTTATTATCGTGCACCAACGAGAGTACTCTGTACTGTGAAGAATCCTTACCTGCCATACTTACTGTCTGAGTCTGGAAGTCTGCAGCACCGCTGGGGGAAAAGTAAGCTTTTAATCCACTGCTTTATTATCCTGCACCAACGAGAGTACTCTGTACTGTGAAGAATCCTCACCCGCCATACTTACTGTCTGAGTCTGGAAGTCTGCAGCACCGCTGGGGGAAAAGTAAGCTTTTAATCCACTGCTTTATTATCGTGCACCAACGAGAATACTCTGTACTGTGAAGAATCCTTACCTGCCATACTTACTGTCAGAGCCTGGAAGTCTGCAGCACCGCTGGGGGAAAAGTAAGCTTTTAATCCACTGCTTTATTATCGTGCACCAACGAGAGTACTCTGTACTGTGAAGAATCCTTACCTGCCATACTTACTGTCTGAGTCTGGAGGTCTGCAGCACCGCTGGGGGAAGAGTAAGCTTTTAATCCACTGCTTCATTACTGTGCACCAACGAGAGTACTTTGTACCGTGAAGAATCCTTACCTGACATACTTACTCTTGGGTCTGGAAGTCTGCAGCACCGCTGGGGAGAAGTAAGCTTCAACCCCCCTGCTCCATCATCGTACATCGACGAGAGTCTCTTGAACTGTGAGAAACCCTTGGTTGAATAAAGATTGTTACTCCTTTGAAACTTGTCTCTGTCTCCGGGTCCTCTGTTGTGTGCCTGTGGTGTCGGCTCCTCACGGTGGTGACTCAGTTAGAGGGGGGGTGGTTGGTCACCCGAGCGTTCCTCCCCTCGACCTGTGACATTTTTTACTGAATTTACTTAGAGGTTAAAAAATATGATCAGTTTAGGGTAAAAAGGCCACATAGTAGGTGGTGTTAAAAGTAATTTTATTACAATTTGTCATGCGCAGTTGCGCACTAGAAAATCACCAATCACTGGGGGTGTCAATCAATTTAAAGAAATATTTTATTAACATACATTAATAATCATGAAAAATATTTTGAATTGAACTCGAGTGGACTCTGGAATAATTCCGAGTCCTAAAAAAAAAATGTTCGAGTACGAGTCAATTCCGAGTCCAAATGGACACGAGTCCATGACAAGACCAAGACCATTAAAATATGGTCTCGAGACCGAGTCCGAGACGAGTCCGAGTCTCGAGTACTACAACACTGGACGTTACTGACCAAATTAGTGACAGTACACCAGCGTCAGGAGTGTTCACTTCTGAGCCTACCACAGCATATTGCTCATCTCCTCAGGAAACCGTCATCACCTGTTGTTCTGACAGAAAATGAAAACCAGACAGGCCACGATATCCAGTAACGGAGTCGCGCCTTCAATTATACTCAGTCAGGGGTTTCCCTTATTGCTCGGGGCAGAATTATCTCCCAAGGTTAAGCTAGGGTTTGAAGTAGACTACCCTCAACCCTCATTAGTTCTGTTCATTTACATAAGGAATTCAACTCGAAGGCTGAATGTTCTCATTCTTTTATAGAAATGTTTATAAGAGAAATTTCAT